TTTTTTTAAAAATAATCAATAATTAATAATTAATAATTATTATTTAATAAATTAAAATTAATTTATAAATTAACATTTTCACATATTATAATTATTTATCAAAGTTTTTAAAATCGGACCGGTCATTGAACCGTTTTCAGGTCTGGTTTCTGGTTTTATCGGTTCAATCGGTTCAATCGATGAACCAGTCAGTTCAAATAACAAGGGTAATTTGATGAGAAGGATAGGTAATTTTGTAATTTCATTAAAATTAAGGGTTAAAATCGGTATAAAAAAAGAATGGTGAGGGTGAAATTGGAAAAACTAAAAAGAAAATTCCATGAGAAATTGAACCGGTGGTTTTTTTGGTTTTATCGGTTTCATCGGTTTCACTGGTTTTGACCGGTTTTAAACGGTTTTGACCGGTTTTGAATGGTTTTTGACCGGTTTTGACTTCAAACGGTTTTTTTATATGAACCGAGCCATTTTCATTATCGGGTACCAATCCGATCGGTTCAATCAGTCGATCCGGTCCGATTTTAAAAACCTTGCTATTTATTTAAAAAAATTACAAAATTTAGTCAAAATTTAGTTATATTTATTTTAAAAAATTATAAAATTTAATCATGATTTTAATAAAAACAACTGGTTGGCATGTCCAATTCCCGAACCTGGTAGTAACTGGTTTTTTAATTTTTGGTATCTGAACCCTAGTAAGTTCCAACTGCTGATTACTTTGACCGCTTTATTGTTAAAGTCTTTAACTGAGTACCCGCAATCCGCTGCCTGACTGACTTTGTTACCGTAACACCACCTGCTACCCACCCACACGCGTTTCCTCCACTTGCTAGCCTCAAAACAAAGCACATAAAACCCATTTTCCCCACGAGCGAGTACACATCATTTTGCCCACGGTAAAACTGAAGTTAGTTGTTTGCCTAGCAACAAATTTAACAGCTTCCAAAACTAACCTAGAGAGAAAGTAGAGAGATGGAGAGACTAATAAATTTGATAAAAAGGCCTTTAACTTTCATGATCTTAACTTATTTGTTCAAAAACTTTTTTTTTTGGTAAGTAGTCTGCCTACCCTCAAAGTTGTGGGTAATGCTGTGTTGCCCCACCTTAAAATGGCAGCTTCTCGTAATATACATTTTTATACTTTTTTTTGTTCGTGAGTAAATGAAAAGTAAATGATGAAAACTTAACTAATATTTTAAGGTGGTCTTAGTATCCTATTTTTGAGCAATAAACCATCCCAAAAACTGTAATCCTTATATTGAATTAACTTTCATCAACTAACTGTGTTTGAATTAGTTATTCTAATTGAGCTAAAACAGGTAGGTATTATCCAATAGTTGACTAAATTTATTAAATTATAAAAACAGTCAAATCTTGGGGTCAAAGTTTAAGTTTTTAAATAATCAATTAAAAAATTAATTTTTTAAATACATTAAATTGATATGAATATACATATTTAATATCATTTTAAAAAAATTAATTTTAAAATATATAAAAATTTAAAATATATAAAAATTGGTGTGGTATACCCTAATCACATATATAAAAATGTTTAAATTAACATAATATTTTACCAACGACTTAAATAGTTCAGTGATTATCTTTTTTCGTTGAAAATAAAATATCTTGAGATCGAATCACATAGTATACGAGTGAATAGTTGCCTCCATTGTGCAATCAAGATAAAAAATATATATTAATGTAACGTTTTTAATGCTTTCATCTATTTTCAAATTTCACATTTTAGTGGGGTACAAATATAAAGAAAAATACAAAAAAACACACTTACTACTTTATTAAATTTTATATTTTTCAAAGCGTAACAAACAAAGAATTCTTTTTCAATGGTGCATTGAAATATGGGTACCAAATGTAGAATAAATTTTTTTCATAGTAGTAATTAATAAGAGCAGAATTATAACAGTAATATTAAAAATTTTACAAAAATTATAAATATAACAATTAAATAGAGATATTGTTTAAAATTTAAACAACTTAACAATAATTTTTTTAAAAAATAAGTGTGACAAAAAGTATACTGAGGTAGGTACTAAATTTACAGAGATGAAGACAACAAAACCTCCTCACCTTCCAGTGAAGCAAAACGGAGGAGTCAAACTCACAGGACGGGCGAAGAGATCTGGGTCAACAACGTTTGACCAAAGAAACGTCACGGGTGTTAGAATGGAAATAAAAAAAGTTTCTGGGCTTCTGAATATATTTATTTTTTTTATTATTATGAGTATTGTTTTGTTCGGCTTTGTCCTTATTGTTTTTCTGCCGACTCCCCTTTATATAAGGCCTTACTTCGCATTTTCCTCCCCTTTATCTCTTAGAGCCAAACAAACACAAAAATTAGGATTGGGCGGAGAAATGAGAACCAGAAGAGGTAGTTGTTATCCGATAGAGGACGATGTATGGATGGAGAACAGAGTAATGAAGCGGCGGGATATCTCCGGCAAACACCTGCTGCCGTACAGGAAACGGCAGAGATTCTCGCCGGAGGCGGCGGTTGAGAAGTTCGATTTGTTCGATTCCTTGCCGGATGATCTCGTCATTTCTATTCTCTCCAAACTCAGCTCCTCCGCCGGTTGTCCTTCCGATTTCATGAACGTTTTGATGACGTACGTTGCCGATTCAGTGGATACTAGTTTTAATTTCTGTTGTGATTGGTTATTTGGTTTTTGATTAATAAATCTTTGAGTCTTTTTTTTTCTTTGGTTGAATTTTGTGGAACAGATGCAAAAGATTGAACAGTTTGGCTCTTCATTCTCTTGTTTTATCCAAAGGCTCCTCGAAAATGTTTGCAATTAAAGCGAAAAACTGGTCGGAGTCGGCTCACCGGTTTCTGAAACACTGCGCAGACGCCGGAAATGCTGAAGCATGTTACACTCTTGGCATGGTGAGTTTTCTTTGTTAAATTAGGAGGAAAATTAAATTCTGTTACTCTTTCAGTTAGAATTCTCTGGATAATTGTTTGTGAATTTTTTGCAGATTCGATTTTACTGTTTGCAAAACCGAGGGAGCGGTGCATCCTTGATGGCCAAGGCGGCGATTAACTCCCACGCGCCGGCGTTGTACTCGCTGGCAGTGATTCAGTTCAATGGAAGCGGTGGCTCCAAGAACGATAAGGACTTGCGGGCGGGCGTGGCTCTTTGTGCACGAGCCGCCTTCCTTGGTCACATCGATGCGTTACGCGAGCTTGGACACTGTCTTCAGGACGGCTATGGCGTCCGTCAAAATATAGCCGAAGGCCGTCGGTTCCTTGTGCAGGCCAACGCCCGAGAGTTAGCCGCCGTACTTGCCTCCACAGGCGCATCAAACATCTCTAAAGGCTCTTGGCTCACTTGGAGTCCTCATCTGATCCCGCACGCCAACTACCGTGACTTGAGCGGGCCCAGTTGCCCGTTGCTGAGCGATTTTGGCTGCAATGTACCGGCGCCGGAGGCGTACCCAGCGAGCAGGTTCTTGGCGGAGTGGTTCGCTGCTCTAGAAGGAGTGCCCGGTCCAGGGCTGAGGCTCTGCTCACATTTGGGATGTGGAAGGCCGGAAACTAGGAAACACGAATTCCGCAGGTGTTCCGTTTGCGGAGCTGTAAATTACTGCTCACGCGCGTGCCAGGCGCTTGATTGGAAGCTCCGCCATAAGGCCGAGTGCGTACCAGTGGAGAGGTGGCACGATGAAGAAGCGCAAGGTAATGATGGCGACGGAGGGGTTGAGGGCGGCGACGCCATCATGGGAGAGAGTTAGTTGTTCTAGCCGGTATTGTACTTACGGTAACGTAGGCTTCTGATGGCATAGACGTGTTAAAGCAGAGGCGTTAAATTGCCCTGAAAAAAAGAAAAAAACAAATGGGCCAATTTTGATTGTAATTTTTAGGGTTAAAACTTTATGAAAATAGTATAATTATAATTTTAATAAAAATTAAGATCTTATTTACATTTAGAACAGTTGAAAATTTAAAAATTTATTTTATAAAATATT